AAATGAAACAAAAACAGTAGAGAAACAAGAACAGATAAGTTTCATGGGACACTGCATTAGTGTGCAAGGCATAAAGCCTGACATAAAGAAGATCAAAGCTATTCTGGAAATGAAGAAACCAGAAAATAGCCAGGAAGCAAGAAAATTATGTGGAATGGTGCAGTATTTGTCAAAATTTGTGAACATCTAGCCAAAGTGTCTGAACCATTAAGAGAACTAACAAAGAAAGATTGCAATTTTAGATAGACGGAAAAATGTGAAGAGGCATTCAACAAGATAAAAACAATGATTACAAATACTCCAGTTCTTATATTCTACAACCCTGACAAGAAACTTGAAATATAAGTGGACAGTAGTCAACACGGACTTGGAGCTGTACTAATGCAAGAAGGACAACCATTAGAATTTACCTCTAGAGCATTGACACCAACTGAAAAACGGTGGGCTCAGATTGAAAAAGAACTACTTGCCGTTGTTTTTGGGCTAGAAAGATTTAATCAATATACTTTTGGAAGACATGTCATAATAATAAATGATCATAAGCCACTTGCAAACATCTTAAAGAAGCCTCTAAACCAGGCTCCAAGAAGATTACAAAACTTGATGTTGAGGAGCAATCGTTATGATTTCCCATTTCAGTGGGTAGAAGGAAACAGTTTACACATTGCTGACACATTATCATGACTGTGCAATCAAGAGGAGAAGCAAGATGAAGTTTTTAACATATGCCAGACACAAGTTGTGGACATACCGGATCCGTTATTAGAAAGAATAAAACAAGAAACAGACTTAGATGACACATTAAGTAAATTATCAAAGCAAATTATGAATGGATGGCCTCAAAGAAAACAAGATTAAGACAACAGGATAAAACCATATTTTTATTTTGCTGATACTTTGGGACTTAGTAATGGAGTAATTTTGAAAGGAGAAAGGGTAGTCATACCTTTCAGTATGCGTCAAGAAATGAAAAAAAACCTGCACACAGCTCACATTGCATATGATGGAATGATGAGGAGGGCCCGACAGACGATGTTCTGGCCAGGCATGGCTGATGAAATAAAGCAGATGGCACAGACATGCACTGCTTGTCAAGAAAGAAAACCTATGAACCAGAGAGAAACACTTATACAACATGATGAAGGAAATGTACCATGGGAAAAAGTTGGAGCTGACCTGATGGAAGTGGATGGAAGACAGTATCTAATTACTGTTGACTATTACTCTAATTTTATTGAGTATGATTATCTTTCAACAACAACATCACAAGATGTGATTAGAAAATTGAAAGGACAATTTGCTCATTTTGGTGCTCAAAAAATGTTAATAACAGATGGCGGTCCACAATTTAGTTCAAATGAGTTTTTGAGATTCACAAGGCGATGGAACATCAATCACATCAGATCAGATCCTGGTTATCTGAGAACAAATGGGAAGGCGGAAGCTGCTGTAAAGATAATGAAGAATTTAATACTGAAAACTAAACACAATGGTGATGATCCATATGAAGCTTAACTGGAACTCAGAAATACACCTCGGCAATGTACCGGATTTAGCCCAGCTGAAAAAGGTCTCAAAAGAAGTCCTCAGACATTGATTCCCAGCACTTCAAAGTGTTTAAATGAACATGGTGTAGCTGAGAAGAAAGAGAATTATAAACAACAAGTAAAAAGACAATATTTATTACCAAAACCTAGGTCAAACAGGATGGTATCCTGGAATGATCAGGTAACAGCTATCTCCAAGATCTTATAAGATCAAGGGAGATAATGGAGGACTATACATACGCAACAGATTTCATATTAGGCCAAGGAAAACTATTTTGAAAGACACTGACACTGATGTCTATGATGGGAATGTCTTGGATGATAATGATGATAATGAAAGGCCAGATTTCTCTGATAACTGTTCTCAGCATGCATCACAGTCTGAAGTAGTTTCTCATGTACCAGACAATAATTGTAATAGAAATAAGCCAGCAAGAATTAGCACTCGAGAAACAAATAGACTTGTGTGGCATAGGGAATATGATATGTACAAAGAATTTTTATGACAATATTAATATTCATGTTGAAATATTTATTCTATATGTGACACACTCTCACTTTGAAATTGATTGTTATTTTTAGTTGTTATAATATTCATAAAATAAGATGAGTTATTAATGTTTGTTATTTTAATTGCAAAGATTTCTGATATGTGTTTTGTTAGCTATAGTAAGGTAAGGATGTTGATGTGTGTTTTATATAGGTTGCACCAATCGGTGTTTGGGAGTAACATCCCTTGTAACTGTTGTTGTCAACCAAGATGGCGTTAGATTAAACAGCTGATTTCATGTCTTATAATTTATATCCAGAGTCTTGTTATTATTCGTTCATGTTAATCAACACCCCCTTTACGCTTAAGGAAACCGATCTTGCCATTCAACAGCTCGTAAGCGGAAAAGCGAAAAAATATTTAGAAATTGTTTTTGTTTAGCTCAATTTCATGGTTTTAACTTCCTCAATGCACTGTGATCCTATCACTTGTCTGGATCAGTTGGGAACTAACTGTTACCTGCGCATGGTAGTGTAAATGTGAAATGGTGCGAATGGGTGTTGAAAGAGGGAACCAAAGATGGAGGAATAGGAACTAAATAGTGTTGATAGTGTTCATGAAGATTAAATTAATTTTAATATAACGTTGTCATTTTGTGTTGATATATTGTTAAAAGAGTCTCATCATATAACAAATGTAACAGGGTATCTGTGTGAATGTTACTGTGATCGCTTTTTAGGCCATTAGAAAAAAATTTGTAAGACTTCAATGTGAACTTGAGAGCTCAAGTCTCGACTTCAAGGAGACAACTTAGCCTACACCATCACTCCAGTCAAGCACAATTTCTTTCCCTTGTTTGATCCCTAACAAAATAATTAATTACCTATAGTTAATTAACTTTTTTTAATGATTCTTGTTTTCTCAGGTACAAGAAATAATTATGCAAAATTTCAACTTGATTCGAGATTGGGTGTGGCACAAATGACGTGTACAACCCTTTTACCACGCAGATATAACACAGACACATAGAGTGAGCTTTGTAACAAGGTTCAATATCTTTGAAGGTATTGCAGTTGAATCATTGAATGTTTTGTTTTGTTTTACATGTTTCGGATGTTCATCAGAGTTGAAGATAGTTTACTTCCTAGCCAAACCTCCCGCAGGACGACGGGGGATGGGAGTGGGCAGGGTTTGAACCCGGGACCATTGATAAATCCAAACGACAGTCCAGCGTGCAAACCGCATGGGCAGGCAGCCATACCTTTGTGATATCACATGCAATATTGGTAAGCTTGATTCCAACCTATAGACTAGAGTGACATCAAAAATTGACTACATATATGGCAACATAATATTGTAACTTAGTGGCGTAGCTGGTTTGGCATGAGGTTCTGACCAGTGGCGTATAGCAAGGTAGGGCCTACATATGGGCCCGGGTTCAAGAATTTTTTGGTGGGCCCCTCCCTTCACCAATGAAAGGAATTTGTGGTAGTGTGTGACAAAATATGTAATATGAAAGTATCGGTACATTTACCAAAAGACATTCCAGTGCAAGTAGTGTACCTTTTTATAAGTAATAAAGTCATATTGTTTGAGTCAGTTAGGACAACAAGTAACAGTGTCTTAAAAGTCAATAGTACAACTTCTTAACAGAATTAAACGACTTAGAGGTGTTGTTTTTTTTTACCTTTGGTGTCATCCCAAGCTCTCATGTGGGGCCCCAACTGGTCATGAGGCATGGCCCCAAGCGCAATGAACCCTTTTGCACCACTGCTGCTACGCCACAGGCTGTGGGCACCTAATGGTCATGGGCCCGGGTTCATTGAACCCCTTCGAGCCATGGATGCTACGCCACTGGTTCTGACGATAATATATAAACCACAAAACTTTTAATAATAAACATAAATAAAAGTCCTAATAGTTTTGACTATTTAGTGAACGCACATTGCAAGCTGTCGTTTGCTGCCTGGTCGTATGGTGTGTGCTGCAGACAGGTCTTGATGGTCCCGGGTTCGAACCCTGCCCTCCTCAATTCCCCACTTTCCTGGGCTAAGATGTAATAATCTTCGATTCTGATTGAGCATCCAAAACCTATAAATCATTCAAACCATTAGGCCTATAAAATGTCAATTCTTATCTTATATGCTTACTACCAAAAACCATGATATTGACATGCCACCCCCACTCCTTTAATTACAGGATGACATTCATCAATTTTCTCTCTTCCTTTTTTTTTAGTACGAGGAATTATACTTTCGTCTGCATTAAAAATTGCATCTTTTTTCTATCGTTCTTTCATTTTGTTTTTGGACAATAGTAAAACTCAAACACACATAATGTTAGTGATATAACAATAATTACACAACAAACATAAATGCCAAAACTAATGGTCAAAAGAACTGTACAATAATTGTGCAATACACGACAAGTGTTTATGAGGGTAGACACACTAGGAGCTCTAATTATTACGTAAACACAAGCGGTGTTGTAATATTCTGCCATGCAGCTTCTCCTAAAACCTTTTCCTTTGCAATTTCTTGTGTGACTAAAGAGGCCAACCTTGATACACAGCTGCGGTCACAGGTTGGGCATATGCAATCACCAGGCGCCGTTACATTTTCATCCTTCTTTCTGCTTCTGTCGTGTATGGTATATGCAATCTCTTCTTGCACTTCACTATTCCCAAGTGAGACTTGTGTATCAGCTTTAGCATGTATGAACGTAACTATTGAACTATTGATCGCTTTATTGAGATCTTTTGGATCTATGCATATTCTAACTTCATCATTCCTGAATCATGGAGCTATCCCATTCAGTAGGTTCATGCACTGGATTAAAAGCTTGCATTTCTTTAAGTTATTCTTCAACTTTCTTTCTTAGTATTTTAAAATAAAAGTACTTTTTTACTGGGGCATATAAAAAGTAAAGTACTCTTTTTTACAACAAAAAAAAATACAAGTCTGCTTTTTTTTTTCTCAAGTTGTATAAATTTAATTTCATTTAAAATGATTTCAAAAATACAATCTGCAGACAGACATATGATTGGTATTCAATGCACTTAGTGAATAATCTGTAAAAACTCATCCAAGAAATGTGTTTGTCAAGGCAAGTAAAAAAGAGGAAACATATTTGTAGAATTAAATTATCAGAATAACTAACTATTCAAAGATTGATGTCAATTCAGTTCATCACAAATCAAGTCTCTTGGGTTCATCACTCTGCTGAGCGTGTTACATTTGGTGTGGTCCAGAAAATCTAGTGAATAGTGGCCGCTCTACAACAAATGATCAAATTAAGAAAATAAAAAATTTTCCACATTAGTTAAGGTTTTACTTTGAGGTAAAATATGTAAAGCTAAGGGTTATTTTCACAATTTTGAATTCAAAGTAAGATAGGAAGAAGGAAGGAATTTTTTTACGTTACCCCCCCCCCCCCCCCCCCCCATTTATTTTGATCAAGTTGAATTTTAAATTGTAGCGACTCAGTGGCTTCTTTGATTTCATTCAAAGTCGACGTAAATGGTCAATGACTGCAACAAATAAAATGCTCAACGTTAGAATCTAGTCTCAAAATAAATCCTATGTAACAAGTCTTATCATACAAAGGACAAATGGAATGATGTTGCATTTATTCATATAAAAAAAATCAATCTTAAAACTTATTGTGGAGTAAATATAAGTAGAATATAATACAATCTGAGATATATGTGTATATATAGAGAGAGAGCAAGAGGAATACAAAGATATCAACTAAAGTGTAATGATTCAGTCATGAACTGTAAATGAAGAAAGTTGTGATGTGAACTATTCACAATGTGATTTGATTTCTAAATATCACTGACATAAATATTCAACAATACTGCACACACTCTTTGAAATGTGAAAAATATTTGACATGTGATGGGACTTCATGGAAATAATAACCCTAATAGTGTAGTCCATCTTTTCCTATTTCTTCCGACAACATAGTAATATTTGCTTCACATTCTAATCCAAATTATAAACTATCCGATTGAAACCAAAAGTAATTCTATCTCTATCAACACATTATCTTTTTCAATTTTTTTTAAAGAAGCAATACTGTAATTATTCACTTTGAAGGTTTGTCCCACACTTTTCTTAACTTAAACTGCTTCTAATTGTATTCCAGTATACAATTGTTTAGAAATTACTTTTACAATTGAAGGTTATAAGATATTAAAGATAAATAAGAAATGAAAACAAAAAAATTAAAATCATGCAAGAATAAAGTATAACTTCTTAACACTTTGTCTACATACAACTATACCACAGACATACTCTAAAACTTAAAAGACATAAATATACCAGACATACTACAAATCTTCAAAGACACAGAACTAAAATTCTAAGACATAAAATGCATAAAGACACTCAAAATGTACTTGTTCTCCCAAGTTCCAGAGTAATTAATCAAGGCCAAATACAAAAGATTAAAAAAATATTTTCTACATTGAATGTCTTAAGTAGGAAAAAAAAACAAGAAAATGATTATAAAAAAAATTAATCATTTCTGTAGGAAAAACAATAGAAAAAAAAACACAATAAAATGATTATAAAAAAAATTAATCATTTCTGTAGGAAAAACAAAAGAAAAAAAAACAAAACAAGAAAATGATTATAAAAAAAATTAATACATTTCTGTAGGAAAAACAAAAAAAAAAAAAACCAAGAAAATGATTATAAAAAAAATTAATCATTTCTGTAGGAAAAACAAAAGAAAAAAAAAAACCCAAGAAAATGATTATAAAAAAAATTAATACATTTCTGTAGGAAAAACAAAAGAAAAAAAAAAAAACCAAGAAAATGATTATAAAAAAAATTAATACATTTCTGTAGGAAAAACAAAACAAAAAATAAAGTGAGAAAATGATTATTAAATAAATGTCATTTGTTATAAAAAAAAAAAAAAAAAAAAAAAGCTGGGAAATAACAAAATGTTATCCAATGAAACCAGCAATATGTTTTTCTTATTGTTATTCTACTAGACACATAACAGACTTGAGCCACAGGCACTGAGTTAGTAAAAGTTATTGAGTAGAGCATCAGCCCTTTGTGAAGTCAGTTTACCAATAAACATTTTGTCTTTACTTAAACCTCTGAAAACTTTTTCATGCAATATAACCCTTTAATTCAATTATTTAGGATCACAAATAGTTTACAGTTGTAAAAAAAAAACACAGCTAAAGATGAAAAAAAAAATGTTTAAAAATACTAATGTTTAAATACAGTTTTTAAGTGGGTACAGCTTCAAGCTCAACAGGATGCATCAACACTGAAAGCTAAATTTAACATAATAAATGAATATACAAATGACTTATTGTACATGGATAATCACAAAGGAAAAGAAAACTTCTTTGACTCATTTTTTTTAAAAAAATAAATGTCTACAAAATATCTAGATCGTCAAATGCACTCATGAAGAATTTCTTCGCCCAACATTGTCTCAGCAGCATGGTCTTCAAATCAATGTTTGGGTTTTATGACTTTACCCCCTTATCCAAAACAAAATCATTGCAGACGTGGTTCAACGCTTTGTTACTATGTTGATATATGAAGCCATGTTATCAGCCAGGTCAGGGTTCCTGTCTGTCAGTTTGTAATAAAACTTTTCTTCTTTTCCTTCTTTCATTGCACATAATCTGGCAGCGACAAATAGGAAGTCGCTCAACCTGTTTGATATAGCAAACAAATAAACTGTGATATTATATCAAATCATTAAATCAGAACAATCTGGTATAAACTTTGTCACATGTAAATTATGAGTGAGTCTGGTGTGAATGTACACTTTGGTTTCTTATAGTTATAATGTTTTTGTTTGGTGTAATGCACAAATTGTAAGACAAATTTCCATACGGACAATAAAGATTATTATTATTATTATTATTATAGTTATATTTGGCAATTAAATTGATGAATTTACTGTAACTTATTGTTGTAAACTTTGCATGTAATGTTGAAGAGAAACTGGGGTATGAACGTATATCTTGTGTGCTATCGTACAAATTGTTTGCTCTAATTATGTACTTTTTTGTAATACACAATTGTAAAACAAATTTCCTAACTTATAATAAAGATCATAACCATATTATTATTATTATTTAAAAAAATAGGAAGTCATCTCTATGTATTTATTATTGTGTGAGTATCAATCTAGTTTCCCTTTCAGACCTTGTGAACAATAGGGTATATGATGTAAAGAACATCTGTTACTGTGGCTCATGGTTAATGAGGGTGTCATGTGGCCAGCACAGAGACCAACTACTTTTACTTTTTCCCAAATAATGTTAGAGCTGGGTGGACTCAAAGGCGACTAGAGATCCCAAAATTAAAAGGTCCAGTCTCCACCAGAATTTCAACCCATGACTCTTCGGTTCAGATTCTGAAGTCAAGCACTTTACCACTCAGCCACAGCGCCTCAGTATATCAATCTACATTATCTTAAATAACCCTAGAAACAGAACACAAACAAGGGCTATTTAGTTTTCAGAGGAAAGAGAATCCAAAAATTACATTTTCAGAAAGTACTTTTCAAGAGTTCCCTAATGACTACTATCTATAAGAACATAAAGATTTTTTAATTTAGAGTATTTCACTATTGCTGAACAGTGTGAATAAAATAAAAATTTAATTATTTCATCACATTCAATTTGCATTGAACTTATTGACTGTAGATCTAAAAATATTTTTTTTTTTTAAATTGCTAATCGTTTATGGCCTGTCAAAGACTAAAATGGTTAAGTTACATAATAAGAATGCTACACAATCAACCAGTGATTCAGCTTGATAAAAGTTAAATTTAGGGAACTTCTCAGATTTTTGTTGGTTCAGCGTTATCTCATTATCTGACCAAACCTACCCATGCCATGTATGCAGCCGGCCTTTCAAAGCAGTCATCTTCATTTTCATGGGAAATGAGAAATGTGCTCATCTTCGACAATGAAGGAGGTGATATATATATATATATGTATATATATATACATGGAACTAGAAAAGTAATTTACCTATTGACAAATTTGAGAGTTTCTTCGTCGATTTCTTTTTCTCTTATAAGTGGAGTGATCCTGGAGAAACAATTCCAATATAATATCTTTCAAAATAATGTAAAGGATTATAATTTTAATAATGCCTCAAATAGATTTCAACCAATGTTATAAAATACATGAAGACCTACCATCTTTCTGTACGTCTGCAAACAGACCTAGCTACATGAAGACTGCAAGCTGCTTTACCTCCAGACTATTGAAAAAAAAAAAACCATTGACAATAATTCAGCTTCTAATAGAAATATTTAAAGCCCTAACTTACATAGCCAAACATAAAACAAGAACTGAACTCACTGGTAAAATAAAATTTGTCAGGGGAGGCAACTCTGCAGAGATTTCATCAATCCATTTCTCTAGCTCTAGAGTGACTTTATGGTTGAACTGGACTTGCTCTGAAACACAACAAAAAAAAAAACCCCACCTTATTTATTACTCTATCATTTTTTAAACACGTACAAAGTAAAGTACCCTTTCAGACCTTGTGATCTATAGGGCAGAGAATGTAATGTCATCTGCTTCTATGGCCCACAGTTAATGAGGGTGTCAGGTGGCCAGCACAAAAACCACTCACCTTTACTCTTCCTAGTTAAAGCCAGGTACCCATTAGAGTTGGGTGGACTCATGGGCATCCTAAAAATCCAGAAATTCAAAACCCCCCAGTCTTCCCAGAGATTTGAACTTAGAACCTCTCAGTTTGAAAGCGCTTTACCACTCAGCCACCATGCCCCTTTCATAAATATGTTTATATGGTATATTGTTAAAAAAAAACACAATAAGCATCGCAAATAAATAAAAAAAAAAAAAAGAGTTCCATTTGTTTACATCTTGAATGAAGTTTTCAACAAAACAATCCTACAGAGAATATACCACCAAGCATTGGTCAAGCCTTTTTATGATAGATTGTTGTTTTCTTTAAAATAATGTCAAACTATAGAAACAATTTAAATTTGAAGGTGAAAAAACAACAACAACAAACCTACAAAATGAAAACAAAAGTTAAAAACTCCAATAAGCATACAACTGTGAAACAAATCTGTATTGTATAGTACAGTCTGTTCTTCTATAGCACAATAGCATTTAAAAACCATAGCACACAAAAAAAAAATCTCGTTTTTTTAATTTTTGTCTCTAGAGAAATACTTAGCTTCTAAAGTACTAACATTAAGCATTACTTCCCTTACTAGCTATGGCCTTAACAAAAAGTAAAAGAGTACTGTCAACAATTTCAAAGTCAAAGTCCTATAATTTTCTATCCAATATTTGTCTAATTAAGTTTGAAAGATGTCGTGTGCTTTGCTTAACAAAAAGTAAAAGAGTACTGTCAACAATTTCAAAGTCAAAGTCCTATAATTTTCTATCCAATATTTGTCTA